AATTTTGAGGAATTTTGGGAGGAATTTGAGTATTTAGGGGAGAATTTGGGGAAATTTTAGAATTTTGGGAAGAATTTTGGGAACAATTTGGGGATTTTTAGGAAGAATTTGAGGAGAAATTGGGGAATTTTGGGGAGAATTGGGAATTTCAGGAGGAATTCCTGCCTGGAAAGGGGAGAAAATTGGGAATTTTGGGAAAATATGGGGGAAATTTGGGGAGAAATTTGGGCAGAATTCCTGCCTGGAAAGGGTCAGAGGGGGAGAAATTTGGGGAAAATTTTTGAATTTTGGGAAAAGTTGTGGGATTTTGGAAAAAAATTGGGTTTTTGGAAGGAATTTTGGGGATTTCCAGAGGAATTCTTGGCTGGAAAGGGGAGAAATTTGGGGAAAAAATGGGAAAATTGGGAATTTTGGGCAGAAATTTGGGGAAAATTGGGAATTTTGGGCAGAAATTTGGGGAAAATTGGGAATTTTGGGCAGAAATTGGGGGAAGATTGGGAATTTTGGGCAGAAATTTGGGGAAAATTGGGAATTTTGGGCAGAAATTTGGGGAAAAATTGGGAAAATTGGGAATTTGGGAGCTCACCCTGTGACAATTCCATTTTCTCTTCATTTTCCTGCTCTTCCTTGCCGGGATCCATCCCCAGGAAATCCCAAAGATTTGGGGCTGGAAAAGTGGGAAAAATCACAAAAAATTTAATTAATTTGGGGGTTTTAATGAGGAAAAATCACATTAATTTTTGTAATCTTGAGGGGTTTAAATGAGGGAAAAAATCCCTTTAATTTCCATAAATTTGGGGATTTTTTAATGAGGAAAAATCCAAATAATTACCATAAATGAGGAAAAAAATCTCATTAATTTTCCACAAATTTGGGAGCTTTTAATGAGGAAAAAATCCCATTAATTTTCAATATTTTATGGAATTTTTAATGAGGCAAAAATCCAAATAATTTCCATAAATTTGGGAGATTTTTAATGAGGAAAAATCCAAATAATTTCCATAAATGAGGGAAAAAAATCTCATTAATTTTCCAAAAATTTGGGGATTTTTTATGAGGAAAAAAGTCCCTTTAATTTTAATAAATTAGGGGAAAAAATCTCATTAACTTTCCATAAGTTTGGGAGTTTTAATGAGATGAAAATGGCAATAAATTTTGGATTTCTTTTAATGAGGAAAATGGGGATGGAAAAGGAAAAAATCCAATTAATTTTATGTAAATTTGGGAATTTTTATGAGGAAAAAAATCCAATTAATTTTCCATAAATTTGGGATTTTTTTATGAGGAAAACATCCAATGATTTTTCAATATTTTATGGGATTTTTAATGAGGAAAAAATCCCATTAATGTCCATAAATTTTAGATTTTCTAAGAGGAAAAAAATCCTTTTAATTTCCAGAAATTTGGGAATTTTTTCATGAGGAAAACAGGGATGGGAATAGGAAAAAAATCCAAGTAATTTTCCATAAACTTGGTAATTTTTATGAGGTAAAAATCCCGTTGAGTTCCATAAATTCTGGGGAATTTTTATGAGGAAAAAAATCCCGTTAATTTCAATAAATTAGACAATTTTAGTTAGGAAATAATTTTCATGAATTTGGGATTTTTTTATGAGGTAAAAAGCCCGTTAACTTCAATAAATTTGGGATTTTTATGAGGTAAAAATTCCGTTACTTTCCATAAATTTGGGGGAATTTTTATGAGGAAAAAAATGTGTTAATTTTCCTTAAATTAGCGAATTTTAATGAGGAAAAAATTTCCATAAATTTGGGAATTTTATTATGAGGTAAAAACCTCGTTAATTTCAACACATTTGAGATTTTTTATGAGGTAAAAATCCAAGTAATTTCCTTAATTTCGGGAGCTTTTAATGAGGAAAAAAAAAATCCAATTTGTTTTCCTAACTTTGGGAAATTTTATGAGGTAAACATCCCATTAATTTCAATATATTTTGGATTTTTTATGAGGTAAAAATCCCACTAATTTCCTTAAATTTGGGAAATTTTTATGAGGTAAAAATCCCGTTAATTTCAACACATTTGGGATTTTTAATGAGGTAAAATTTCCACTAATTTCCATAAATTTGGGAATTTTTTATGAGGAAAACAAGTGGGAATTTGGGAACGGGAAGGATTTTGGGGTAAAAAAGTGACAGGGACGATCCCAAACTGAAGACAGGGACGATCCCAAGGAATGGAACCCGGACAACTCTAAAGAGTACCAAAAATGACCCCAAAAGCTGCCAGATAATCTCAGAAGAGTGCCAGGGGCGATCCTAAAGAATTATCCCCAAAATTTATCCCAAAAATTCTCCCCAAACCCCGCCGGGACCCCAAACCCCTCCCTGAGGGCTCGGCGCTCACCTCAACTTTCCCGCCTGAGCGCCGCCGGAAGTGCGTCATCACGCCGCTCTCGATTCCGTACACCAAGATGGCGGCGCGCTGCTGCCTCCGCGCCCCCCTTACTCCCGGCAGCCCGCGCGGTTCCGTACGGCAACATGGCGGCGGCGCTGGTGCAGTACGTGGTGCTCCGCGGGGATCTGGCGCGGCCTCCCCGCTCGTGGCCGCTCGGCGCCGTGGTGGCTCAGGGCTGCCACGCGGCGCTGGCGGCCGTTCACGGTTACCGGGAGCACCCCGACACCGGCGCGTACCTGGAGCAGGGCGGCGCCATGACTACCGTGGTGCTGGAGGTAACGGCGCCGCCGCGGGGCATGACGGGAGCTCCGCGCTGAGGGGAGAGCTGCCGCCATGTTGGGGGGGGCGGGGGCGGCTTGAGGGAAATCAGGATTTTTGGGGGGAAATCTGGTTTTTTTTGCTAAATTGGGATTTTTTGGGGATGTTATGGAGTTGAGGGAGGTGGGAATGGTCAGTTTGGGGGTGATGAGGGGATTTGTGGCTCGCTGAGAGGAGGGGAAGCCCGGGGAGGGGTCGGGCGGTGCTGGCGGCGGGGAACGGCGAGAGGAGGAGCCGGAATTCCTGGGGAGATTTAATTGGGTTTTGGGAATAATTCCCTCATGAAATTGTGAATAATTCCCCGTGACATTCGGAATAATTCCTCATGGAATACCCAGGGCGGTGCTAAAACCCCAAAATTCCCGAAGGGTTTTCAAATCCGCGTGGATTTACGGAAACAAAACTCAAATGTGAACACTTGGACTCCCAAAGCTTTTTCCAACCCTAAAAATCCCCCCAAAAAATTCGGTGTTTTCATATTTCAATCCCACAATAAAAAAAGCTGGAAATCAGGGATGTAAAGGAAAAATAAACAAATTAATTCCTAGTATGGAAATGAGAAGCTTGGCTTGGATTTGGGAAGAATATTTGAATTAATTCCTAATTTTTTTTTTTTAATTTTCTTTTTTTTTGTAGGCTCCGGATGAAAATTCCCTGCTGGATTTGGCGAAGTTGCTGAAGGAAAAAGGTGTTGACCACAAGGTTTGGATGGAAAATCCCGAGGGGATTGCCACGTGCCTGGCGCTCCGACCTTACCCCAAAAATGTGGTGCAGCCTCACCTCAGGAATTTCAAACTCCTCAAATGATCCCGTCTCGAGTTTTCCAGGTTTTTTTCCCTCAAAATCCTGGAGATTTGGGATTTGAGTTGCGTTTTGGGATGGGGAACGGTGGGGTTTGGTGGTTTTAAAGTGGTTTTTTTGACACGGCTTGATGGATGGTTTGTGGTTTTGTTTGGGTTTTGTGAGGGGGGGGTGGGGATTTCTGAGGGGAAAAAGGGGGGAAAAGGGAAAGAAAGGGAGGGGAAATGGGGGGAGAAGGAAGGAAAAGAGTAAAAAATGAAAAGGGGGGAAAAAGGATGGAAAATGGGGGGGAAACGGGGAAAAAAGGAGGGAAAAATGGGGGAAAAAGGAAAGGAAGGAAGGGAGGGAGAAATAAAAAAATAGGATTAAAATGAGGGGGGAAAAAAGGAAGAAAATGGGGAAAAATGAAAAGAAGGAAAAATGGGGGGAGAAAAGGAGAAGAAGTGAAAAAAGGAAAAAACAAAAAATAAAAAAAAGAGGAAAATGGGGAACAAAGGAAAAAAACCAGGAAATTAAATCCCAAAAAATAAATCCCAAATCCCTCGATCCCATTTTCCCATCAGAATTCCTGATTTTCCAGCACCAAAAATTGAATTTTCCATTTTTCCCAATATTCTTCCTCTTCCCACCCCCAAATTTCCCCAAAACCACCAAAATTTTGGTTGAAAAATCTGAATTTTCCCTTTTTTTTTCCTCTTTTTTTTTGTTTTTCCAGGAATTTTACAACAATTCCCTGAAAAATTCACCTGAAATTAAAAAAAAACCTGGAAGAAAAAATTAAATTTAATTCAAATAAAAACCCCACCAAAAAAACCAAAAACTTTTTCCTGACAGAGCATTCCATTCTTATTCTTTTATTATTATTAATTATTAATTATTAATTAATTATTATTTTTAAATATTCAAAGCTACTCCAGCTGTTAAACACAATCCAAGCAGGAAAAAAAAAAAAACATTTTATTCTTATTTTTTTTTCTTTTTTTTCCACACGTTTTCCATCTTTTCCCTCAGAAAACAAAAAATTATCTACAAGACCCCCTCCCCCTCCCCTTTTTCCCTAAAAATTATTGCAGATTTTCCCATTTTTTTTGAATTTTGACTCATTTTTCCCTCTTTCCTTGCACTATACACGAGGTTTCCCCAGGGATGGGGAAAAACCAGCAAAAAACATGGAAAAAACCGGGCAAAATATTCTTTTTTTTTTCATTTTTTTGTGTTTTTTCATGGTTTTTTTTGGAAAAAAAACCCCAAATTCCACGTTTTTTGTGGCTAGAAAAAGCTGATTGTACGCACGAGCCGAGGGGAGGGGAAATGGGGATTTTGGGGGGAATTGGGGTTTTCCAGGGGAATTCGGGGTTTGGGGGGTGCCCCAGGTCAGGTCCAGCTGAGACTGAGCTTCGTCCTCATCATCATCATCATCCTCATCATCCTCATCCTCGTTTGGGGGTTGGGGAGTGAAAATTGGGGGGGCTGGGGGGGGAAATGGGG